TGACTACAGATGAGCCATCTCCACTCTAATTATCTCCTTAAATTTGGATGTCATTACCTACCTAGCTACAATTTGACCTTCTCTTCCCACTTCAGAAAAGTTATATCCTTGTTACTTTATTTCTTTTTATATCTTTATTTCTTTCTATATCTTTATTTCTTTTTCTCCATATTTTTCTTTTTGTTAATTTGTTGATGTTGCTCTTCCTAATTATAATGTTTGCAAAATGTAGAAAACTCCAATGAAAATAACAACTCATCATATCATAACATTCATAATATCACTGCTGCTGTTAACCACTGTTAACATGTTTAGTACTTCCACTCAGCCTCTTCCTTTTCTGCCTTTTTAGAGTTGAAATTATCATGGACATTTTAAAATATGTTCTTTAGTTTTTTCAACATTTCATTATAAGCACTTTCAATTTAATAAAAAAATTGACAAATATTATTTCAATGGTTGCATGATTCTCTAGTAAATTACAATAATATAATTTATGTGAGCATTTTCGTAATTGGGGACATTGAAACTATTTCCAAGAGTCTGAATAACACATATTTGAGAAATGAACATAAAAACATTCATTTATAGGTTTTTAACTGATTTGTTTTCTGAAGACAGAATTGCTGATGTAGACTCAATGGATCAGAGTGTGAGTATTTTTATGGCTCTCAATATATATAACTCCTGCCCATTTTCAAACCTGATTTTGTTTTACCCAGCTCCAGATTGTTATGCCTATAGGTAGTCAATATTTATTTATGAGAATTGTTAACTAAATGTAACGGCAAGTAATTGAAAGGAAATTTACAGGGGAAGGTAATTTCATTGAAACTTCTATTTCAAGGAGTTATTTTATCCTTGATTAAATTATATACAAATGCTATTTAACAATTTGGCTTTTTTGACTGTAGAGAACATGCTAGCCCTTTCAGCTTTGCTTTACAAATGGTCCTCAGGGTCCTTCTTGTCTACTTTCTCTTCTGCTTCTTAGGTGAATTTATACTTTCTCTTCCACTGTTCTGATGCAAACATCTGCCTAGGCTGGGCAAAGGAATGCATTCTTCTTTTTGTCCTTCCCTACCTTTGATTCGCTTTCAGTTGTAACACAAAACAATTATTCATCTGTTTTCTAAACATTTTTGTACTCTCAATTCTATTCTGTCCTTCAGATTCTTTTTTTTTTTTTTTTGATATCTCCAGCTATCATCATTCACTCAGACACTTCTGTGTGCTACTTGTTGCCTTAGATTATCGGCCTCATCCAAACTGTGGCCTGAGGATTATATACTCAGAAGGGTTTCCAATGTCACCGTTCCACAATCTTACAGTGAAATTCCTTTAAACCGTGTTAAAGTGTCGTTCACATTGTTCTCACTCTAACATAAATCTCTATCTTTTCTCCTTTCAGAAAACACAGCTGAGTCCTTCAGCTGAGGTGCTATCTTCTCAGCAGATCATCCCTTCTAGGGACAGAGCTGTGGACACTAAGAAACAGCACTAACATCCCGAAGGCGACTTCCCCTAAGGAGCAGCATCTTAGGAATTGAATAGGGAGATGGGTGGCCATAGCTGCTCTGTATGTTTTGGGTTTTGTATCTCTCTGTTATCAGCAGCAAAGCACAGTGAAATGGGCAGGGGTGTAAGAAACTAATTCTTTATTTTTTTAATTTATTTTTATTTTTTAGAGACAGAGTCTCACTTTGTTGCCCAGGCTAGAGTGAGTGCCATGGCATCAGCCTAGCTCACAGCAACCTCAATCTCCTGGGCTCAAGCAATCCTCCTGCCTCAGCCTCCTGAGTAATTGGGACTACAGGCATGCGCCACCATGCCCGGCTAATTTTATATATATAATTAGTTGTCAATAATTCTTTCTATTTATAGTAGAGACGGGTCTTGCTCAGGCTGGTTTTGAACTCCTGACCTTGAGCAATCCGCCGGCCTTGGCCTCCCAGAGTGCTAGGATTACAGGAGTGAGCCACCACGCCCAGCCAGAAGCTAATTCTTCATTTTCAGACTGAAAAAAACCCAAATTTTGATACTGTAATTCTACATGTAGCAACATTTCTTAAGTAAGTTAGGAATTTAATAGCAAGAATCACTGCTGTTCTACTGTAGGACTTCACCAATCTTCCCTGTAATGACAAACTGCTGGAATGTAAAGCATTTGTTTTTTCACAACTGCTTTTACTTGGTTTGGAAGCTGTGATCTACGTTTCAGGTCAAAGGCAAGAACACGCTTTCCCCTATCTGTTTCCTGTCTCCAAGCGATCAATCATTTATTTCCCCAGGGAATTGTAGTTCTTGGGCATGTGGCCTGTTTTCTATTGGCTTCTATTATCATTTGCTAATTAGATTACAACCTAGTATTTACCTTACTCTGTGGCTTTGAGACCTTCCCCTGCAGTGTTTTTCTGTTAGTTTTACAAATGCTGCAGATCATGCTTTCTCTTGGTCTGTTGTGTTAAACTAGGAAAAGTGGGGAACTTTACATTCACATCTGACTTTTTTGAAGGGGAGAGCTAAAATTTAAAAATAAATTAATCTTACTTTATGTAAGATTCACCTTTGAGGATATGTACTTAGAAAATTTTAGAGATCCCTGGACTACTTTAGGTTTTAAAATACAACTCTTGCCTTGCATTGTTACCTTGCTTATACTTAATAAAAATTTATTCTCTGACATATATAGTTTTGTTTTCCACTATGATGATTAATTTTATCGGTTAACTTTGTTAGGCTGTGGTGCCCACTTGTTTGGTCAAGCACCGGTCTAGATATTTCTGTGAAGATTATTTTTAAAAAGTGATTAACATTTAAGTCAGTAGAATTTGAGTAAAGCTCAAAGTGTAATGTGCTTCATCTAATCAGACAAAGGACTTAAAAGTCCTAAGATCCTCTAAAAGAAAGGAAGTTTTGTTTCTGGACTGCATCACAAAAATTCTGAGTTTTCAGTCTTTGGGCTCAAAGCTACAACATCAGTCCCTGTGGGAATTTCTAGATTCTGCCTTATAGATTTTGAACTTGTGAGTTCCCACAATTACATGAGCCGGTTACTTAAAATCTGTTTGCACGTGTGTGTGTGTGTGTGTGTGTGTGTGTGCATGTTTGCATGTGTACATACCCTATGGTTTCTGTTTCTCTAGAGAACCCTGACTACTATACTAACTCTGTTCTATTCACTTCCAATTTTTTCTAAATTTCTCCTTAAAATCCTATTCATCAAGGAACTTTCTTCTAAAACACCTTATTAATCCAAGCACCAATATACTTTAGCTTCTATTTTGACATCATAGGGATAGATATCTTTATTTCTGGTAAATTAAAAGCTCTTAGTGCCCTTAGGGACAGTAGACTTCAGAAGGGGAAAAAAAAGATGGTCCTGCTGCTAAGGTAAGAAGTCTTTCTCTACAGCACAGGGGAGGCATTTATCACAAGGGAATTATTGCTTGTAAAATGTTTAAGGAACATTTTCAATGTGTATAGACTCTTGTTTACCCAAAACCCTACAAATCAGAGATAGCAGTTTAAAAGTTAGCTACAGGCCAGGCGCAGTGGCTCACGCCTGTAATCCTAGCACTCTGGGAGGCCGAGGCCAGCGGATCACTCAAGGTCAGGAGTTCGAAGTCAGCCTGAGCAAGAGCGAGACCCCCGTCTCTACTAAAAATAGAAATAAATTAATTGGTCAACTAATATATATAGAAAAAATTAGCCGGGCATGGTGGCGCATGCCTGTAGGCCCAGCTACTTGGGAGGCTGAGGCAGGAGGATTGTTTGAGCCCAGGAGTTTGAGGTTGCTGTGAGCTAGGCTGACGCCATGGCACTCTAGCCCAGGGAACAGAGTGAGACTCTGTCTCAAAAAAAAAAAAAAAAAAGTCTAGCTACGGAGGTTCTCTGTGGGGGTGGGGAGTGGTATGGGGCATACATCAAATCTCCTGTAAAGCTTGATGAGCTTTCCCCTTATTCGAGAAGACTCTGTGTCCAGTGGTCCCTGCTCCTGCTGCTTGCATAGGCTTCCCAGGACCCATCCCAGCCCTCCTTGCCAGACCCTCCCGCTCACTGTCTTCCACACCATTTGACTACCTCTGGGCTCGTAAGAGGTCAGAACAGGCGTAGAAGAGGAGGCTTTCTAAGCCCTGTGTTAGAGAAAATTCCCACTTGAAAGTGCACTCCAAGTTTATTTTAGAACTTCCAAAATATCATAGACACCCCACAATGAAGACTTGCTCCAGAAGATTGGTTGCAAATTTCTTTCCAGGAATCCTGTAGGAATCAACTGTTTCTATTTAACTTCCAAACTCCCAAAACTCTCTCCATCACAGTTGAAAGTATGGGATGGGAAGAATGGAGGAGCAGACAAGCGGAACGCACCTGAAAGAGCTCACTAATTTTGTCAACCTAAAGTAATCAAGAAGGTCAGAATCTAGTTTAAGGAGAGATTATTCCAGCACCAAGGTTGAGGAATGTAGCCTGGGACACACTTCCAAGCTGCCTTGGCAAGTGCTCCTGGGCATAAAAGAGAGGATCAAGTTTTTAAACAAAAAAAGGATGAATCAGGAGAGGGGGCGATTACAAAAGCTGTTTGTCAGGAATTCTCATTCGCTTACAAAAATAACATTGGCTAGTGATTGTCTATCCATTGTTAAACCAAGGAGTGTGCAGTACCTTTGGCTACTTGACGTCAGTGAGTCTAGAGTCCCATAGCAAGTGGCTTCAGGAGGTAATTATTTAGCTCAAGGGGGAATGAGACATGACTGCTGGTACATTTTAAATGCCCCTCTGGGCCTGATAATTTAAAGGGGTTCACATTTCCCAGATAAAAAGGTTTTTCTTTTGCAATTTCTTGGTTCTCATTGAGCACTTCATTGTAAGTGGTGTGTTGGGAAAATGCATGTTGGGTAAATGCAAAACATACTCTTTAATGTACAGCTGGACAATAATACATTTCTCGTGGGTGAAAACTAAGTGACATTAGAAAATGAGAATGGAGCACTTCTTACCTTTACTGAGATTCCAATTTAGTTGAGAAGAAAAGTCCTCCAAACAATGATAGGACTGAGGAGCTTCCCAGGGAAGGACTATCAGTATTAAAACTGGAAGAGCCCAGCTAGCCAGGAATCAGTTAGGCACTCTTAAGTATCAGGCAGAAATTAAGACCAAAAGTGTTGGAAAATACAGAGGAGCCGTACAATTGAAGCAGGATGGTGAGGTAAGACCTCCTGGAATAGTGGCAACCCTAAGAATGTAAGAATACAGAGAATATGCGTAGGCAGGAGGAAGGAGATACTCCTAGGAGAAAGCTCAGCAGGAATGAGGAAATGAGGCTAGATTAAGCCTAATGTGGCCAGAAGACTGCAGGGAAGATAAGAATGGGAAGGCTGGTTGAGTCAGACCCAGGAATTTAGATTTCATTCTGATAAACAAGAACCAGTAGAATTTGAGCATAGTCCTGTCATGATCTAAAGAATGTTTTTGTTTTAGGCTATCAAAAAAAAATTGGATAGGAGATAGGACAGACTAGTGTCTGGGAGATCAGGTATTTTACTAATTAAAGTCTGAGGAAACTAAATAAGATAAACTCGTTTGATTGCAGTAGAAATATTAAAGTAAGAGCACATATGAGAAACATGTCAAAGAAAGAGCTGGCAGAATACTTTGACTGATTAGAAATAGGAGTGGATAAAGAACATGGAATCAATGATGCCATCAGACCTTCTGGAGCCGGAATCCCTATGAAAATTCTGGCAGCCTGGGAGCCCCTTTCTTCCGGGCCGGGGGAGGGAAGCTGATGCCCTTTGTTCATAGGCTGATATCTGTCCTGGAGGCAAATGAAGGGATTTAGACACTATTTCTGATGCCTTAAATCACTTAGTAGCTGGTTTTCAGTACAGGTTTGTTTTGCGTGTGTATCACAGGTCCACAAACTAAAACATATATAACTCCACTTCAACTTAGTTTCTATTTTAAGCCCACTTGACCCAGGGTAGCAAAATTTTAAACACAAGTTTTTGAGCCACAGTTCTTTCACTAGGATTGTACCTAAATTTTAAGTGTTTAAAGCATGACAAAAGCAAGCATGGGGCAGAGGCAATACAATCTAGGCTTCAAGTCATCTTGCCAGGTGGCCTCTGAGATAAGAGTCATATTCTGGTGTCCCATAAAGGTGGCTTCTGAAATGACCCCCATTTTCTTCCAACTAACCATTGAATGGGCGGCTCTCATTTAGCTATGTCTCTGTATTGCTCAGAGGCTTGCATTCCCCAGTTTCCATGACTTGCTGGGGCATAGACATCTTTGCCAGTTGGCTAGGATTTTGACCATCTCAGTTCATTGTGTAGCCACCCTTTTTCTGGGGTCTGTTTGCCTTCATGATGTCCAGTCCCTACAAAAGGAGGCAGCTGGGCCTCATTAACAGGGCCTGGGTAATGTTCACACATTCCTCATGTGACCACCATCTAGTCCAGGGCCTCCCAAACTGATGGAGAATTGGTCCCCTCCCCACCACATACACACTTTGCCATGGACTGATAATTTTATAAACAAAAATGAAATAAAGAATAGTGAAATATAAAAAAGACAGGCCCATTCACTTTGCTATATCTGGGCCATCAAACACAAAATTACTCTTTCCAATTGTGGTAAACATTTCTGAATGCTTCCTCTTCATACCTGTACTTATCTCATGGAGGACTATTCATACACCTGGGACCCCATCCACAGTCCACACCTTCACTGGCATAAACCTAGCTTTCCACTTTTGGCCTGGAAATATTTTCTCTGATCAGGGGTAGAGTTGAAAAGAAATCACATAAATTATCAAGAAGAAATTAATATCTCAAAATTTATTGCCACATAATGTTAAAGTTAAGGTTCTCTGAGCATTGCACTCTCTCTCTCTCACACACACACACACATAAGAAATTATTTTAAAATTATAAAACTGGACAAATTACTGAAACTTCAGGAGCCTCACTGACCTCATCTGTAAAATGGGATTAAGCATTGCACCTATGAAAGTCCATAAGTACATGAGGATTCCATAAGGAATGTGTATAGAGTGTCTGTGGATTGGGAATGATGGCTATGACTGTTACCATGAAGACAAAGGTTCAAGGAAAAATGAAGCTGGGGTGAAGGGATTCTGTGATCCATTTCGGAAATGGGTTTTCAAAAGCAAGAAGGATGAGAGCTACTTGGATATCTTTGGCTCTTTATCATGGAGCTCTAAATTCTTGCTAAATATAATCTAATTAATCTTGCTCATAATTATTGGGGTGTCATGTGTTAAAGTATGGTATGGGCTATTCAGTCATTAGCTACTAGGAGCCTCACCACTCCTTGATTCAGATGCTTATCTGCTAGACTGCTTTACTACTTGGAAGTTAAATGAATCCCTTGTATATATGGTTTTTAAAGCACTTTGGGATGCTGGAGGATTAAGCACACTATAAGAATGTCTAGATTGCAATAATAATATCATAGCTTATCCACGCAATGTTAAATACTCCAACATACAGGATTTTCAATATAATCTAGGCAAACAAATCTTTAAGCTATCTTTCTTGTTAAATAAAAATGACACAAATTTAAATTAATAACTGATATAGCAATAAAACTGCTAAAAGATAGGATTCATTGTGCATTAAGCCCTAGATTCTTTATTTAGGCTAGAAGTGATTATGTGATAATAGGATAAATGCTTTGCTAAAAAACTAAAATACTCTGTATATCATCAAGGCATATTACATTTATAAGGCATTAATTTATCTCATTACACAATAAATTTTTTCTTTTTAAGTGAAATCTCAAGGAGAAATCAATTTGCTGAATGGAACTCGAGATATGTTAACCTTGGATAAGAATCAGCATTTGGCATAAGTTCCATGTCATCCAAATGGCTTTCTCTTGACCTTTAAAAAGAGGAAAGGATTCTAGAGAAATCCTAACATATCTTGGCAAAAATTCAAGCATTCTATTCTACTCATTCAATATTTTTTCATTGGAAGAATCATGCCTGGTTCCTAACTACCTATAGGCAATGAATTAATCATCAGTTTGAACATAGGTGATGCTATAAGTCAAAATAGTTTATCACTACATGGAGAAAACATAGGAGACTGAATAGTTACAATTTGGTAATGACTTTACAAAGTTATTGATTAAGCAAACAAACAAAAACCTATGATACTGTTTGGGTCAACGTAATCCACCTTTTTATTGTTTGACTACGGAAGATACATTTGGTTCCACTGTAATTGTTTAGATGACATTGGAAGTAACCAGAAGCACAATATACTTAATAGTTTAAGCCAAAAACCAAGAGTTAACTCATCTTTCTCTGTCTTTCCTCCACTATCTCCACATTCAACTCATCACTCCATCCTGGTAGTTCAACTGTACAACTATATCTCAAATCCATGCATTTCTCTCTATTTTTAACAAAATCTTAGTGTAAGCCATCATCATCAGTTGCCTGATTGTGCAATTGCTTCCTAATTGGGCTTCCAGATTTTTCTCTTACCCTTTGATGGTCTATTTTTCCCCTAGCAGCCAAATATTTTAAAAATGTAAATCAAATAATATCACTCCACCAATGAAGCTTCCAGTGACATTCTACTACATTAGAATAAAATCCACGTCGTTCTCTGAGTCAAGTCTAATTCTGCATGCTCTTGCTCATATCACTCTCCTCCCTTTTCACTATGATCTATCCAAGCTGGCCTTCAGAATATCAAAGGTCCTCCCAATTCAGTGCTCTATACACGCTATTCACTTTGATAGAATGCATTTCTCTAAAAGTCTTGCAAGGCCGACTCTCTATTATCAACCAAGACTTCCCTTCAATGTTTCCTTCTCAGAAAGGTCTTCTCTGATCACCCTATGTAATACAATCATTTCCAGTTAATTTTATTCCATTATTTCCTTTGTATCACTTACCACAAGGAAATATCTTGTGCCTTGGTCGGTTGGTGTGTGGTCTATTTCCCTGGACCAGAGTCTCCATGAGAGGAATGACTGGGTTTGCCTTGTCACTGCTGTATGCCCAGAGCCAGCACTGTGCCTGCCACTCAGTAAGTCCTCAATAAACACTTTTTGGATGTATATTCACTGACTAAACTATGTAGATTCTCACAGGCACGGTGCTGGCTTATGAAAGGGCTTTCTGACCTGTCCAAAATAGAAATATGAAAGGACAAATGTTCAAATGATTTGCATCACCTTAACAAGATCTCATCAAAGACCTCCTTTAAACAAGCAAATTCATTTAGAAGTGATTGGTTTGTTAAGCCCTTTGAACCATCTCTGGAGGCTTATGATTGACTGATGACATTTCATGCACCTTTAGAGAGGTGTTCTTAATGTTACTACATTCTCTTGTGAACTATTTCAGCAATATGTGTTACTATTTGCCATTTTTATTTTCACTCCATAAAGTACATAAATCAAAAAGGATGTTGCCATCACAGATGATAGGCATTTTATCAATTCTTGCTGCCAGCATTAAAAATAATGTTTGGACTGTTCCCCCAAGAGATATTTAATTCTCTTGGTAAATTAATGGCTGGCCTTGGCCTCTGACAGGATAAATGAAACTCCCCTTAATCTATGCAATTAAGGAAATGGGCTCCTATATGTGCTTGCTTCCGGATGCTAACAACACAGGCAGTACATTGCCAGAAACATACATTACTGGATTGCTTACAGCCAAATTCGCTCAATTTTCCTTAAGATGTTTAAATAAAGCTAATGCAAAATTTAAAGTTCACACTGGGAAGGTGGTGGGGGACAGGTATTACCCCGAGAAAGATGACAGGAAGAAAATGAGAAAGCAAAACACAGAAAACAAACACATCCCAGTTTAAGATCTTCAAGAAGATTAAGTAGCAGAAAACATATTTTGGAATCAAATATGCATGTTTCATTTTTTCTTAATTAGAAATCCCTTTGAGATATTACTTTATCTAGGCTTCTGTCAGCATTTTCTTCTGTCCCTTTCTTTATTTTTCTATTACTTCACCTGGGACATTCTTCCAAAGGTCAGTCTCCTCTCCAGAAAAATCCACAACATTTTTAAATGTCACAGATCAATGACTGGGGTGGGGGGTGCTGAGGGGAGGAAGAACAAGTACATAGGTCCACATGGGACTCATTGGCTCAGCAGGGGCATGGGAGAAATGGAAAGGCAAGCCCAAGGAGCTTGGGAGAAGTGAAAAGGTCGGAAGCTAGAGAGGGTGACTTCTGGGGCCACAGGAAGCCACAGCCTGACCTGGAGCCAGGTGGAACATGTCCTTTTTTCTTTATGCCTCCTTCATAATGGAGGCTGGTGAGGTACAGGTCTCACTTACAGAAAAGACAGGGCCAGGGTACAAGGCAGGAAGCCCAGTGGGCACAGAGGGAGAGAACCGACCTGGAGCTTTTCTAGCAAGGCACATTCTGAGTCTGCTAACCTCTACGGCACACTCCGGGCCTTCGAGAAGTTAGGGTGGTCAAAAGAAAATCAGGAAGCAGCCTAAAAGAAGTATTCTATAATCATTGCTCCTTCTTCCTTGGCCCTTATTTCTCACAACACATAGAATTTGTTCGGTTGTTCTCTAGAATTTCTATTCTCAAGAATCCTTTAAGTATCTTTGTGCTGTTAATAT